GGCTTTTCTATGTGAGGTTCTTAACCCACCACTTTACTGAGACTTCTGCTTCCAGATTCTTTTTGCTGTTAAGATCAGCTCCTTTACATAAGCTCTTGCTTTTGCAGGGTGTACATCTTTCTCCACCTTTCTGTGTTCTGTTGCTGAACCACAAGGTGGCAATATGGTAGAGTAGATACAGAAGGGAATCTTCCAGACCGGGAAATAGCAGACTCTCGTTTGAGAGAAAATGGAAAAGGCCCACTGGGAGAATGACAACATCATATCAAGCACCTGCAGACTTTTGCAGGTGAGGCAGAAGAAATTCCTCATGCAGAAAGGCTCCCAATCATCAGTGGTGACATCTGCCTGCAGTGAACCTGTGCAGCCAGAAGTAGCCAGTATGGCATCTTTCAAGGATAGCCAAGCAGAAGTTAGCTTATTGCACTTCCCTCTCTGGGGAGCTTCCCATCAGGGGGAGCTGGCCTAGCCAAATGGAACAGCATGTCTTAAGGCTTCCCCCTTCTCCAGCTGCCCCCCTAGTCGAGCACAAGGGAGTGGACCTTTTCTGCAATGGCCCCTAGATGTGGAATGGCCTCTCAGGAGCTTGCCTGGCACCCCAGTTGCAGTCATTTTGGTGCCAGGCAAACACATTTTTATTCATCTAGGCATTTGAATCTGTTGCAAATCCTACTCTGCTTTTCAGGGTGTTATATTGCTTTTTTTATCTACCGCCTTCTTAATACCAAAGAATTAAAAGATATCTTTTGCTCGTATGCCACCCTGAAATCCTGAGAGGATGAAGAACAGTATATAAATGTTTTAATAGAAGCAGTGCTAAATCATCAGTATCCCATCATCTCATTAAGGGCCCTACCTGGTGTCCCTGCAAAGTATCCAGAGGCAGTGGCCCTCTGCTTTGATCCAGGCAGGGTACCAACTCCAGGTGCCATTCTGGAACAGATGAAGAATATCACCTAGATCACCTTCTCTGACTTTCTTAGAATAAACTCATCAGTGCCTCATCTTGCATTAACTGGATGGCTCCACAATGCTGCAATTAGATCAAGGCCCAACAGACTAATTCTGTTTGTTCCCAAAGAATTTTAGGTTGCAATCCTACATCCACTTAACTGGATGTAAGTTCCACTGAACCCAGCATGTCAGTTGTTAAATTGTGTTGTTAAGCTAGTAAATAAGCAGCCTGTTCTACAATGTCTCTGAGGGCACAGTGGTCTACATAGAGCATCTGGGAAGCATCCTTAGCTTGCTCCATCCAACATGCCTTGCCTCCTGTGTCTTTCCTCCATTTCCAGCATAATGAGGAAATCCCTTATTGCCATTAGTATTACCCACAGGGGCAGAGACAGCTAGAGATGCTAGAGACAGAGCAGGCGTGACCCTTGTGTATCATTAGATAGTACCTGTACTGCTAAGAAGCATTCATCCTGGGGTCGCATAGTCTTTGTTACAATGGTTAATTCTTGCATGGCAAATATTTCTTCTGAATAACCTCTCACATGATGAGATAACCTGAAATAACCCTTGCTTGTGCCCTGTATGCCAGCAAGGGAAAGATCTCCTAATCACTGATTTCCCTGGCACAGGAACTGAGTGTAAATCAGTGCCCCCCTCTTCAAAGATTGCTCCTCATCCCTTAATTAGTGGCAGTGCTTGTAGATTGTATTAATGAGCAAAATTATAAATAATGACACCCACTAGTTTAACTGCCAAATTATAGGCAGGTAGGGGGAGGTATTCAGCCTTCCATTCTCTCACAATAAGCTTCACATTTTATTGCAACAGTACTGTTAGGAGGAAGATCAGAGCCTGCCATAATTCATTCTTTTAAAAAACCCAATTCCATTTTGTTACTTCCTTCTCTGCAATAATTGGCAATTCATTTTCAAAGGAGGTAAATCAATCATCTTTTTAAAAAATTCTACTTGAATCAGAATAAAACCTGAGCCACATTTTAACTGTAAAACATAAACAAAATTGGATAATATTATACATTTTTAAATGGCATCTGGGTTATTCTCCTGGCCTGCCTGCATCTTAGTGTTAGATATGTGAACTTTAATTCTGTCATTATCAGAAATATTTAAGAATACCAAATGCAATGTGAGAGGAATTTGCAAATAAACCCAACACTGTAGAAAGGGAGGTCATTCTTCATCCTGAACAGATATTTCTGGCAAGACAAAACATGGTAAAAGTAGTGGGAAAACATGGGAGGGTTGCAAAAGGAAGACCCTGTCATCTGGACCTGCCACATCTAGTGCAGGATGAAAGTGGCATCTGGAAACGTCTTCTTCCATGTATGCAGACAGGGCAGGATTCAGGTGCAGAAAACCAGGGCTCCACTCAGCAAAACGCAGGAAGTCTACCAAATGCTGCAGGTGTAGCTTATGAAATTTTAAAGTAAACGAAGTAATAGCATTTGGCAGTTAAGTCATACATATAAGACCTTTCAGGCCAGAGTAAAATAAAAATAAAAAACCACGCTCAATTGCTCTCTCTCTTCTCAGTGGGTCCTGCATCATGTTCTCTGCCTTCCATGTTTTGTTATAAAAGAAGGGAATGCATTTTTCCATGCAATGGCAGCATGCCAGTTTCCCAATCCAACATAAGATGCATTTCTGCCATTGACATGAATATGATTTGGGGGAGGGGGATTGAGAATAGTCCCATTGTCAAACTGCTATTACTGTCAGCATGTTTCTCCTGATGCTTGACCAAAATCCAAGCTCCTGTAAATTAAAAGCACTAGAGCAGGTCCCTTCCTCTGGGTCAGTATAAAACGCAAAAATATTTATTTATTTATTTATTTATTAAAACATTTTTATTGGCTTTCTTCTACCTACAGCCTCTCAGAAAGAATGCTATCATGCTTCATTTCTCCAGATTAAACATACCTCAATCCTTCCATTTTTCCTCATAAGTACTATCTGTCATAGTAGAGACCATCTTTGCTGCCCTCTTCAGAAAAATTTGCCCATATTTGTCCATATACTCCTTAAAGTGCCATGCCCAGAACTGAAAATCCTACAACTTCAGTTTACCTCAATCCATCTGCATTTACTTGGGAATAACCCTTCTTGAACACAGTAGGGCAAGTGTTTCAATAAATCTTCAAGGCTGCAAGGTAGGCTACCATGAGGATATTGCAGTCCACAAACTAGGTAAACTGAATAATTTGGATGTGAAAATGTATTAATTGTGTCAACATCAAGGAGTCTAGAAAATGGCTTCACTCGCTGTTGGATGAGTTTGGTGGTATGTGAACCACACTAACTGAAAGCAAGGGGGGGGGGGTCATTTCCTTGATATATTATAACTTTGGATTCGGCTTCTAAAGTCAATTGGCCAGAAACTGTCATTCATTTTTTAAATACCAGGTATGTTAAACCTACATGAAAATATGAAAGCCAGCCAGCTGGAGAAATACTTGGAGCTTGTCTGTCCCTTGGCTGACTTGATAGCCCCTCAAGCAATCTGTCGTTCTCCTTAAAAGAGAAATCTTGAGGAAGACTGCCTAAGGAATATTCCATCTTTATGTCGCAGACTGAAAAAGTGCTGACGAGATCTGAACTTGGGGAGGCGAGGGACAGTATTCTGCTCTCTCCCCCTGGCTTCCTAAAAATAGCCCATGCCAGAGGTCCATCAAGAAATGGATCCTGCTTTCCCTGTGCCCTAAGAAAGATAAAGAGCTCTCCTGGGGGGCGTGGCCAAGGCCCTCTGACACCTGATCCTGGACATGATGTCACTGCCTTTGGTTAAATAAGACGATCAAGGCGAGGGAGTAAGGACCACTCTCAGGGCTTCGGGCATTTCGCGGCTCATTCCGCCCGCCTTGCTGCATCTCCTCCTCCTCCTCCTCCTCCTCCTCCTCCCTTCCAACTTTCTCAGTCATGGTGGGTTCACGTGAAAATTTAGCTCTGTTTTGCAAAGTAGTGCTTTAATCTAGAAATGTAGTTGACATGTTTTTGCTGGTTATGATCATATAAGACCGTCATAAAACCAATTTAGCGAGCAGTTTTGTAATGTGGTGTCCTACCAATCAGGCAGGAATGCATGCATATGTTTTAGTGTTAATCTGTCATGATCTGGGGGAAAATGCTGTCCAATGCAATAACTTGCACTTTTCCTGTAACTTTAGGAAAGGTAATTCTCACTAGCTGTCTCTGATTTGTGTTTGCTAAAGTATCTGTGCACTGGAATCCAGATGCACAAGCTGCCTATGAATAACTAATAAAAATGACACCTTTGGTCACCGAAAAGACAACTCTATGCAAGTCTACTCAGAGTAAGTCTCACTGAATTCAGTGGGGCTTTCTCCCCAGTTGTATGCATATAGGTGGCAGCTTAAGTTTACCACTTGATTTGTTCTTTTTAGTGGAATACTGGTTGTGTCATGATAGTTCCAATTACTTTAGTTTGCTAATTGTAATGCAATAATGTATTTATCTTCAAAAATTTAACTCTTTGGCAACAAGTCATAGAGTACCCATCTGTATCTATATGCATCTGTATCTATATCCACCTTTCAGACTGTATGCCCTCAGAAACAGACTCTGGAACATTAGCTTGTTATTAACGAAGAGCATTTATGGCCTAGTTAATCTATGTAGACAAAGTATTAGTTATAGGAGTGTACAACTGTTGTCTGTCAATGCAATTTTTACCAACAATATTAGCTGTTTTCTTTTCTCTTTCATCTCTCTTTGGTCAATTGCAGTCCTTCAGTGCTGATCAGATTGCTGGTAAGTGAAACATGAGTAATTCCAACAATGCTATGAATATTAGTGTGATTTCTTGCACAGAACATCAAAGTTGGATGCTCATTAGGTTAAGCAGGCACAATCTATTACATGAACAGCCTGGTGGCATCTCAGCTTCTTGAAAACTCAGACAGTATTTCTATGCATCTTAGAATGACACTTCAAGGAGCATGCTACATGCTGTAAATTCCAACAAGTCTTTTTAAGGGATTTTTGTGATTGATTTCCTTCTAACAGATCGAGTTCTCCAAGGATCAACAAGATGGTAAGTTTTGGAGGACAGCCAGTGAACATACATAGAGGTATTTTCATGTAAGGTGTCACTGGTATAAACAGAGAAAAACCACTTACTCGAATTCAGCCATGCAACTCCCAGCACTGAAAGATTAGGCCCTACATTGCAAGTCACTTCTTCAGATGCTTAAGTTTTACCACTGAATGCATGAAAGCCAAGATCAGAGTTAATGCTACCTTCCATTCTAGGTACATGCTCCTTCAGAGGACCAGAAAGGCAGGGAATGAAAGAAGATGGCAAAAAACTATCAAATTGTTGTATATTAATAAATATTATAGCCCTGCTTGTTCCATCAGTACAAGCCTGATTTTTTTTTCCAAACATTTCCTAAGAAATTCTTGAATTTGCTGGACCATCTTGAATCCCTCTTCTATTTATTAATATTTATGAATTGATGAAGGATTTAGGGCAGTCCAATAAATGCATGCATATAATCCTTTCCTAGGAAATGTTTGTAGAAAATTATTAATGGGAAAAGAGGGCTAAAGAAACTGTGTAAATATATAATGTGTGATATTAAATGGCATTTGTTGAAAACAGCATGGTGCAAACCAGAATGTTGCATATATTTCCTTCTGGTAACCGTTCTTTCCAGCAATTAATTACATGTCTGTCCTGATCAAAACTAAAAATAAACATAAAACAAAATAAAGGTATCCCATACCTGCATTTAATATCTTAAATATAGTTCAACTTCTCAGATGGATGTGTATTTGAAATAATTAAATTAATTTTCTTGACTAATAGTAGAATCTTAATGAGCTCCTGACAACACATAAGCATAGTAACTGATCATTCAACACATTTTGGATATCTACTGTTACATGCATGATAATTGTTTTTAAACAAAATAAATAAATACCATGAGTTTGTAATATTGACTTGATTTCATATACTTTACTGCAGCGAATGCCTTTTAATTCCTGCATCCATAAACTGAAAGAAAAAAAATCTACATTGACTAAAAATATATTTTATTTTAGAATATCTCTCTTTGGCTTCCTATTCTTCATTAGTGACATTCACAAATAACACATTCTAGACTAAAAGGCATACTTAAGAATCATTAGTGAAGGTACCCAAAATCTTGCAAGATCAATTTGGGTTAACTTTTCGTCAGTTAAAACTGTGAAGTAATAGGGCTCCTAAATATTACTTAGAAAAGACATTCAATAAGAACCAGTAAAGCATTTATAATAGGTAATACAATATTTCCCTTCTCATGTTAAACTATTAATTTTAAAAAGTTTCACCCAGTTGTAATCAGTTTGTTTTGTTTAAAAAGACAACAAAAACCTAACAAAAAAGGGGAAAGTCCCAGACTAGAACTGTTATTCTTGGACCAAATTTTGGTCTTACCGTTATGAGTTCTGCCTCGCATAAAGAGGGTTAAAGAAAGAACTCCCGCTCCCAGTGTATAGGCACACCCCCTCCATAGACCCACGGACCTTAAAAACATCTTTGTACTTTACAGAGATTCTGTAGGCAGCACAGGGACATCAACTTCAGTTGCAGTATCTCTGCTCACTAGACATGGCAGGGAATGTCGAGACAGACAAGAGGCATCCCTGGCTTTGGAGCAACGCTCCTAGCAGTGTCCTGCTGTTGTTCCACTGTGATGACTACACCTATGTACAGCGCAGAGCAAGCAAAAACCGTTTGGGGAACAGGAGAACATAAGTTACGCTATGTCTGTTAAATACGTGCAAAAAATCTGATTGCGTGGAGCAACATTCTGATCTGTTTCCCACCTCACTCTCCTTCTCAGAGAGAGAGAGAGAGAGAGAGGGAGGGAGGGAGGGAGGGAGAGAACGCTATCTTTTGCAGGAACTGTCAAGTGAGGAATTTCTATTCTACTTCCATGAACATGGATATTCTTAATGAACTAAGTAGAGTAGAATAAAGACAATGGGCTAGTGATGAGATTTTCCAGTGTTGTAAATGAGTGAAGGTTTGTTCCTTGCAGCCACTGGAGGAAATATCAAATCTGAGCTGTAGAGTATGTTGCGGTCACTCCTCTGCAATTCTAAAAGGCCAAGATGTTCTGCCTTGTAAGGAGAGAGGGCTAGCTATAGACGTGTCTGGTGGGGCTCAACATAACAGAGAGTGAGGGGATTAATATCAGATATATTTGATTACAGTCTAGCAACCACACGTCCTACCTCAGCAATTTAGAAGTGTGCTAAGATGCTGTTTCAGGCAGTATAAGGAGGGCTGGAGCACACACCAAAATAGTATGGCTGCACCAGCACCTGAGAAAACGAAAGGAAGGCAGTCCATGTACTTTCTGATGCTGTAGTTGCCCCAGATCAGCAGCAGCATTCAGTGGAAAACGAAAAATAATGGCTTGTCAAGTGCAATCTGTGCTCAGAACAGATTTTAGAGGATATTTAAAATCTGGTCCATGTGAATGCAGGTGGGTCTTTGGGGTGTTGAAGATCATCTTACAAATGTGCACCAGGAGGCAGCGAGGAGGGAGGAACAAAGGTTAACTGAGTAGCAAGGTTAAATGGCAAAGCTCGCAAGTTTAAACCCCCCTGCAATCTGATGGGAAACCCATAGGAGGTGGTCACAACTTCTTTGGTCTTGTGCAGGACCTGCTTGCTTTTCACATGAACTGTATAGATTTGCCTTGACATCTCTTATGTTATTTTTAATATTACGAAGACACACGGCTTGGCTTTTTCAGCTGGCATCTGTGTCAAGCCTTGTTTTCACTTACTGAGCCATTTGGCTATCTGGAACGGCCACCAAAATTGCAAGAATCTGTCCTCTTCGTATGGGTAAAGGTCCTTGCCCCTGCCCCACAGTGTGGAACAAAGTCATTGATTGCACTGGCCACACAGGGGAGTAAACTGTAAACTTAGGCATCCACTTCCTTCCACGATTCTCTGGGGCGCCTCTGGGGCACTTTCTCTCCCTTGGAAGAAGTGCGTGGGAATCTGGTAATCAGGAGACTCCTCAAAATCAGGGACTAGAGTAGATGCCCACATTACTCCCTCCATGTGTCTGTGGCAATGCAGCTGCTTCACACAGAGAATTTTACAACACATGAGTCTTATCAGGGCTTTATTAGATATGAGAGTAGGAAAAGAGCCAACATTTGCTTCGAGGTTGTTAAATCAATAGGGCTTATGCTGCTATCTTGATTCTCTCCACCTCCGTGAAATCTGAGAGTGCTACTTTATTACCAGTTCACAGTTCCTTGGTCTCATTTCAGTCAACGGAACTTATCCCATGCATGTGGTCTTCCAGCTGCTCCCTTAAAATTGTAATGCGTGCATGCACCATCTTGGTTAAAGAAATGTTAGTTAGAGCTTTACTGCCAACACAGCTGCTGCAGGTAGCACTTACACTTACTTTCACACACATCATTTTATATACAAGCCTCATAATGTTTGAACACATTGGCAGGAACACTTGTGTTACTATTTATTTATACCCCATCTTGTCCCCACTTGTAAAGAACCCAAGGCAGCTTACCTGAGCCTCCTCCTCTCCACAGGGTTCTCACAACAACCCTGTGAGGTAGGTTAGGCTGAGAGCCAGTGAATGGCCCAAAGTCACCCAGTTGGCTCCATAGCCAAGGGTGGATCAGAACATGAGGCTCTCCAGTCCCAGTTCTTCATTCTTAGCTATGACACTGGCTGCCCACATTACTTAAGAAAACACAGTAATGTTTGTGTGTGTGTGAAAAATGTGAAGAGACAGCAAGTTTCCTCTTGAGTAGCCTTCTATTTTCTAAAAAGAATAGAAATGCAAAAGTTACCCAAGTAAGGACTAGAACCCAGATCTCCTGAGCCCCAGGCTAGCATTCTGGACAGTGCATCATACCTGCACTTTTTAATGTTCAGGACTGCAGTGCATCTTACCATGAAATATCTTTGTAATAAAGGAACAACAGAGTAGCTTTACTGAATTGGCAAACAAATCATACACTTGAGACTGCTTGATTGGGGTGAGGGTTTTGTGGGTTAAAAAAACAACACAACAATGATCCTCAACCCACACTCCAATCAAGCATCTCACTGTAAATTTCAGCTTCTCCCACTTTGTTGGATTAAATGAATCGATTATGTGAACTAAACCATTGGGATCAATGGCGCTAACCCAGAATAGTAGACTGCAGTATTAGAAGCTCAGCAGCGGTAGCCAGGATGGTCCAGCTGAGGAAGTGCACCGAGAGTGTGATCTACCCATGCATTTAAGTCTTGACTTGCCCATGGACTAACTGTGTGGTGTTGGACAATCCACACAAGCTATGTGGAATAGAATAGCCTGGGCTTAAAGCAATACCACAAATGCCTCCACATGAAAAAAAAATCTTTTAGAATGGCAGTATGTCCCAGAAATATCTATGAACTCAGTCTTTGCTCCATCCTGGAGCTTGTTCAAGGATTCAGCTCTGAGCAGATTCTTTGGACAGCTAACCCCCATGTACCGTTTCTACATGGGTAGTTGCATTTGGAGGCTTGCCAGTGGACACCACAGAGCCTTATGTCTGCATCAGCCTTGACATATCAGCCTCCCATTGCTAAAATGGTAGTGGCTATTTTTATTTATTTGTTTATTAAAAACTTGATATGCAGCTGTGTGGCTCAGAAAAGGGCCCCCCAGTGTCAAGGCTGCTTAGAAAGCGCAGCAAAGTAAACTTGAGGGAAGTGGTTTTACATGGGTGGTGCTTGTTCAGCACATGCAGCATTCTTTGCACAAAAAAGTGGGATCACTAAATACCACATACAAAGCTCAGCCTTACTGGGGATATATACTGGCAACAATTATATATGTATTGAAAATAGAACTTTCTGAACCCCTTTTGGATACAACTTAGCTATAAGATATTAGTGGCTCTTAGAAATAGGAAAAAGAAAAAGTGGTATAAAATTACTTTGAGTCTGCATGTAAAATTCTGCAGATGAGTAGAAATTTGGTTGCAGATAATCTGTATGTGTATTATGGATACCTAATTTGCATTGACTAATTTATGGGTACATGACTTGGCTCTGTTGACTCTGACATTCCCTTCTTGCAGACTTTAAGGAGGCATTCCTCCTCTTCGACAGAACTGGGGAAGCCAAGATCACCCTAAGCCAAGTCGGAGATGTCATCCGTGCTCTGGGACAAAACCCCACTAATGCTGAGATCAAGAAGATCCTGGGAAACCCCAGCAATGAGGGTAACATCCCAATCTGATCACAAATATGAGCGTGTCTTCCTAAAGATGAATCCAGCCTATCTTCCTTCTCACTGGATCTCACATTTAAATCTGGCCTTGACTCCACAGACACATACCACATATTGGGCTGGTGGACTAAAAGTCAGCATTGGACCAGATTGCATGGAGACCTGGACTCTGCTGGGCAATCTAAAGCTGACAGTCGCAATCCTATACACACTTATGAGTAAGCCCCACAAAAGGCAGATTTCCAAGCAAACATACACAACATTTTTCTTTTCTTCTTTTTCTTTCTCTATTTTTCCTACAAAAATACTTCTTGCAATTTTGCATTCAACCTTTTTGTTCTCAGGGTTTTAAATACTGCATTTAATCAGTCTTTTTACTGTGGGCATGTGAAGGGTTTTTTTTGGTGGGGGGAGGTGAATATGCTGAGGACCTCCAAGGAAAAGATTTAAGCATTTTGTCATAGGCACAGTTTGAAGATGCATGATGCTGCTGCGTTACTGTAGTTAAAGGAGGCCTGAGTCTGTCTGATGCCTGGATGGAGACCACTTGGGAATAGGACTGAATTTCATGGGAGGAAAGTGTGACAGCCTTTTTTCTTCAGTTGATATAAAAGCATCATTAATTCTGGCTGAATCGTAATCAGACAAAGAATATACAAATAACCAGTTACATATCAGAACCTGCAATACCCTTTTATTTTTAAGTTGCTAGCATGCAAGTTAGAGAGTGCTGCCCAAAAGCCCCAGTGTGTTCATCCAGTCAGGTGAGGCAAGGGACCAAGCTGAAATCACATGCCCACTTCAGATGAAAATATAGATGCTACGTAGTACAGTAAATCCGGAATTCCCATGCACACTCCTGCAAAATGCAGTTCTCCGTGCAATATGCTCCAATCAAATCAAATGTATGCTGCTAGCAATGCATCCAAGGTGTATTCTGTTTGTTTAGAAATGGAGCTGTGTGTAACAACTGTTATATTAAGATTCCAGTAAAAGCTGTCTTCCTTAACTGAATACAGATGTACCACCTCCTTATGAATGTAGCATCCTCTGTTAATGGATGTAACGATAAGCAAATACTTGGATGCTTTTGTCAATGTGTGTACTTTGGTAGCAGTATTATGAAGTGAGAATATTTAATTTCCAAAGGGAAGAAATTAGCAGGGAGGCCGATGGTTAAAAATGTGGTGGGGAGGCTAGTCCAGCTTGGCATTTCAGAAGGAGAATTCCTTAAAATGTATAAAACAAATGTATAATGTTACTGATAATTCTGGCTCTTTCCAGAAATGAATGCTAAGAAAATTGGGTTTGAAGAGTTCCTGCCCATGTTGCAGGCAGCTGCCAACAACAAAGACCAGGGTGGCTTTGAAGACTTTGTTGAAGGTCTGCGTGTCTTCGACAAGGAAGGCAACGGGACAGTCATGGGTGCTGAACTCCGTCACGTACTGGCCACTCTGGGTAAGAGTTCGGAAAGTCATCTAACAAGAACAGTGGATCAGCCTTTACTATGTGCACCAGTTTCATAGCATGTTAACTCTTCTGCCTTTCATCAGCTAAGCAACTTGAGAATCGTAGCTTAGAGAAAGTACCATGAGTTTTCTCTCTTTGAGTTTCCCTGGCCTTCCCATCCCCACCCTAGGCAGAACAAACCTCCAAAGTCCTATGAGTGGAAAGGGACAATGAAAATAGATGAAAAATACTGGTTCCCAGGCACCACCAGGCAAAAGACGAACTGTTTAACCAGTTTAAATCTATAAAGTGATTAGTGCCCAAATATTATTTCCAGTGGGTGGATGCTTCCATATATTTGTTTGTTTGGTGACTGAACTGACGAAGTTGTGAAAAAGATGGGAGGCTTATAAATGGAAGATAATGATGTGTGGGCCACATATGCTGCAAAATTCTATGAATAATGTGGGATGATTGCATGATAAAGTGTCATCTGGAAGCACCCTTTGACCTTGACAGAGTCATGAGAATGGAGTTAGTGGGCAGGTTCACACATCACAGTGGCAAATCATGAGTTAATTATCCCTTGAACTGGAGATGTGAAGAACATGCAAACTATTTCAGATTTTTTAAAAATTACCCAGAGGCAGCCCATGCATTCTTGTGTGATGTGAATCTGGGCACACTGGATTATGTATGGGTTGAACAACCTACAGTTAGGTTATGCTTTATTTCTAGGGTAACACCTGTTTGTTTAAACCATAATCAACCTAGAGTGTCTGGTTTGCATGTCAGGCAACAACCTATGAATAGGATGTTTTTCCAACAGGAAATGAGTCAGATGTGGCTCATATACTCTCTGCATCCCCAGCAAATTGTGGGTTAATTAATGTGATGCTCCAATAAACATTAGTATGCTCATTGAATTAGCTATACTGATATAGCTCCCACGTGTTTCATTTTTTTCTGTTATTATTGGCATGCTGTGGGATCTAGCCATAAAGAAGCACTAACCACACTGCTCCAATGCAGTAATGATCCAGACTTAAAATAACCTCAGGAAATCATTGCATCATGAAACCAGAAATGAAATTCAGTTCTTTGATATGGCCAGACTCCACAGTATACATGTGTGCATGGACACACACAACCATGCACAGAGCTCTGACCTGAGGGCCCCCCCCCCACAGGCTTTGCAGAGAGTGGTGGCAATGCTGGGGTGAGTGGTGGGGCAGGGTGGGGCAGCTCTTGGGGAGAAGCTCTAGGCAAAGCAGCTGTGCTGTTCCTTGCATTGTGAAGCAAGGCTGAAGTGATGGATGCTAACCACAGACAGCTATTGAGAGATGGCTAGCTTACCGAACCTTTTCGTTTGGTTCTGTTCTGTGCCGTCTCTACAACTGGCCTTTATGCTGAACCTACTTCTGATAGTTCTTTGCTGCTCATCTCCTCAAGGAGTCTGACCCTCACAGCAGCTCCAGCTGCCCCCAGCTGCATTCTCCCAGGTTGGGACTTTTGGGTATACTATAGTCACTTCACTTACCTTCAGAGGCTTACAAATACAAAGAGACCAAGTCACATTATTAAAGGAGGCTGGCATCAGCAGCCAGCATTTGGGGTCCAGCAAATGCATTTGTGGTTCTTCTGGGGTCCAGCATTTGCTGTTGCTGCTGCTGCCGCCCCCCCCCCCCCCCACTAACCAATAATGCCCGGACAAGATCACTGTTATAGGATAGGAAACGTCCTCTACTTCACAGAACTCCTTTGGAAAGTGTAGAGAATCCCTTAAGAGGTAACATGCCAGAAGAGATGCACTTGTATTCCTGCTTCCAGAGGTTTATGAATTGGGGCTGCTAATGCTCCTCTCTCCACACTCTAGGTGAGAAGATGAAGGAAGAAGAAGTAGAAGAACTGATGAAAGGGCAGGAGGACTCCAACGGCTGCATCAACTATGAGGGTAACTATCACTATCCAGTATAAGAGGAGAGACTCAACTGGTAACCGCACTACCCTTCCCCCTCCTGATTCCCAAAAGTCACCCAAGCAAGCCCACCATTTGTTCCAGCCAGAAATGTAGCTCTCTATACAGGGGCTAATGGTAGCTTTGGGTGGATTTCGGTTGGGGAGATGGTCCAGATGGGAAGGATGAATTACCTCCTCCCTGGTGCTGTTGCCCCAATCTAATCCTGCTGCTCCATTCCACTGTTGCCATGTGGCTATTCTTTCTTCCCTTGCAAGCCGTTCAACATTCAGGAGCACCCTAGAAAGGCAGAAACTTATCTGAACATAAATGGGATTGTGCCATTTGCAGACCATAATAAAAATGCTTTAATTTATAAAGCATAAGCAGAGAGAAGGTAGATCAGGATCTACTAGTAGTCACATCACTAGGTAATCTGCAATAGATCAAGCAGAGGTCTCTGATTCCCAGTACTTTAACAACAGCAAGCAAAATTGCAAATAAGCAGCAGCAGGAAGATCAACAACTTGGCCTTGCTTGTAATGTATGAGTATTAATTAACTGCCTTTGATCATGTCCATGTGCATCCCTGCTAATCAGTTTTGCAGAGTTTTATGGTAGAATACATGGATGTGCAGTAACTCTGCTAAAAGTCCGTTAATACTAGACACAGGGGACACCAGCATGTAGCACATGGGCTCCAGTGACAACTCTGGCTCTACCGTGTGTCACCCTTTTGCACCCAGCTCCATCTCTTGAGCCACTGTCTTGCAGCTACTTTCACCTGGTGGTCTTCAGAGTCCTATTAAAGTAGATCCTGCACACCTGAAGTCAGTCCACCCTGTTGCAAGACACTCCGTCTGAATGGGCACTAAACTCAGGGTGCTATCACTGCATCCACCACACAGGCAATGAGTGGCGCACTCCGATCAGCAACTGTTATGCACAATGGTTTAAGAAAGGGACAGCCGGTGCCTCATGGGAGAGGTAGAAAAGAAGTGGGATGGCAAAGCCAGATTCAGTTATGTCAGCCTGAACATAAGTGGAATAGTGATAGCTTCACCTGCAAAAGATGGCATTCTACCCTGAGCACTGGCAATGGCACAGGCATGGCACCCCCACAATGGTATGTTTGTCTCCCAGGAGAGGCATGGCAAGCTTCCTCTTGTTGTCATCACAGCAGCTATGTGTTTATGAGGTGTCAGGAACAGGTGGAGAAAATCTCTGATTGGCTTCAGATGACTGGCAGCAGATGGGGGTGAAAGAGTCATGTGGCTTCTAGAGCAGAAAGATACTGTGGAAGCTGGAAAGGCCATCAAAAAGGAGAAAGGGTGCACCCATTTGGTTAAAACGATTCAGGGGGAGTGAGAATAGAGATGGACAAAGAATGGGAGTGACCTGCACCTTCAGTGAACCCTTTGCAGCCCTTCCCACACCAGCTATAAAGACATCTTGACAGGACTGGTTAATTGCCCCAAACTTGTTTCCCATGTGGATAGGACTTGAGAGGACATAAAGAGTTATCCCATGAAAGGAGATCTGAAACTCTAGGCTTCTTATGCCATCTTGTAATGGATATATTCTTAGTGCTGTTGTTTAGTTGTTAAAAATGTGGTTTTAAATTCATAGTCTAACTTTATAATGTTTTCTACTGAAGTTTACATTTCATATTATGTTATTCCATTTCATTAAGTGGTGTACACTGCCTGCAGAGCTTTAGCTACTGGGAGGTAAATAAAAAAATAAGGAAATGTGGGAGGTGCATCAAATTAAATGGGGTTTGACTAATGTTGCAGTAATATAACTGGTGTGTCAGTCCCACTAGGATTGGGAGAAGGTGTTTTCATTATTAAAGAATGGTTACAATAAACCTATAAATGTTTGGTTTATACGATATGCGTCGACTAACAAACTTATACTCCAGGTGCAGACCCTTGCATAGTCCAGATGGCATCACCCACACATTTGAGGGTGCTATCAGCAGGCTTGGATTTGCCAAGTGCTCAGAAGAACAAAAAAAGTCTTTAAGGAAAAGTGCTAACTAGAAAGTGTTACGGTGGCCAAATGCAGGCTCCTGAGGGCCTTCTAATTGTGGAGGCAGCAGGAACAGAAACCCAAGAGGCATGTGGAATGGACAGATCTCACTTGTCCTCTTTAACATGGTATCAATTGTGTTATTCCACAGCATTTGTGAGGCACATCATGTCTATCTAAATGGATTTTTGAAGACACACAATTTGGTAAGTTCCTTTTGTAGCCATGCTTTAGCTTCCCTCCTGTCTCTTTGAAAAGTTGATTAGTATATTTCCTTATCTGCATGCAGCCAGCAATAGCACCTGGCTCCTCTGGGTGCTGTCTTTAAGAAATGCAGCAAGCAAATAAGCAGGGCAGACTTAGGGTTAGGTTCCAAGCTAAAACACATTTCAGCCCCATTGATAGCAATCCTTCACTCCCTCACACTCTCTCATTAAATAGGATGTAAAAGTGCTTTACATCAGCTTGATCATGTTCATAATTCCTGTATCTAATACTGTTTTTATCTGTAATTTTGGTCCATTTATTTAAAATATTTAATGTGGAAAAAGCTTCCAGAGCAGCTTGGAAATTAGCAGAAAAGAAGTAGACCACCCTTCCCTTTTGTTTAGACTCTAAAAGTCTTGACACAAAAGTGAAAATGGGATGGGAGAAGGAAAAAACCCAGCTCAGCTCAGGCACCAGCTCTTAAAATTGCATAGTTCTTCTAATAGCTAGCTAGAATGCCAACTTTTCAGCATGAGGAGCTAAAAAGAGCTTGTCCCCCAGCAGCACACTCCCTCTTAGCTGCAACTAGGAAATATACATTCTTAGGATGAGCACAGTATACATTTTCCCTCTCATGTCTGAACAACCCGGTATGCATCTGCGTAGAGACTTGGGAGACTCCAGTCCAGGTACAGGCCTCTCTTGTGCAAATTGTTACTGGCCTCAATTCTCTTACCTATAAAACAGGGTTATCACCAGCTAACTCACAGGGTTCTTGCAGATGTGTGAGATAAAGCAGTAAATACTGCCTGTTGCAAATATAAATACTTTTTTGTCCTTCCTGGGAATAACATACCAAATCTAATGTTATTTCTTTTTCTCTTCTGCAGAACAAGATCAGCAGGCCCTTGAGATATGCATTTCTAGGACACCATTGTTTCATCCAGTAATACCACTCTGGAACCTAAAAGGACTGTAATATCTGCCTCCCAAACACTCCCTTTTTAAAGCCATCAGCATGAGATGCCAATCGAATCTAAAAATTTTAACACTTTGCAGCTAGAACACTTGCTGAGCCTAATGAGAAGGACTATGTTGCCACTGCTGTCAAACCCAATTATCTTTTTTCCATATTGTCTACCATGGAAGCAATGTATGCTATTCAAAAGAGAAGGAAAAAGAGAATCTGACAATAAATTCCTGTGGTCAGTTTACGGCTGGAAATTTTCTTTTCTCTAACCTGCTCAAATCCCAATTAAAACATAATCAAAGTCGTATTTATTTTCTCTTCATGCTAGATTCCATACAATAAAGTTTTATGAAAAAAGGATGCTCATTGGGGTTCAGTTTGAGTCATGTGGGTCAAAGAGAGGCCTTCTTATCCCCTTGGGTATGAGAGAAGGTGTGGATTTTTTTAATGGTTCTCTGATGCTTTCAAGACTTTCTTGGGATAACATTACTTATCTGAGTATGCTTTAGAGGCAGAGTCTACCAGAGCTTTGATCTACCCACACGCTATTTGCTGGATTCTGAAGGGACAGCTGGCAGGCAGCTGCTGAACAAGTAGTTAAATACTTCCCTCTGCCATGGGGTAGAGCAGGGATCCTCAAACCTTTTCAACAGGGGGCCAGTTGCAAGGTGTTGGTGGTGGGCGCGAGCCGCCAAGACGGTACCGGCGGGGGGGGGGGGGGGCCAGGGGCGAGAGGGGGGGCAGGGGTAGTGCCGGCGATTGTTTTCTCCAAGCGAGTGCAAAATGATCTCCTCACAAGAAAGCTGGCCAGATCCGGCCCGCGGGCTGTAGTTTGAGGACCCATGGGGTAGAGCCTCTGGCAGGAGCATAGGGGAGCTCACAGTGAAACAGCATCTGGAGACTTGTCCCCAGGGGTACTGATGCCATCAGCCATCCCCCTCAGAACTCCCTGTTTCTTCTGACCTAGCTGCAAACCTCGCTGCAGTGATGGGAGCTGGGATTAATTTGACCAGCAACAACTATTACCTGTCCCAGAACAAAGGATTTTGAGGTGGCTGAGTAATGAATGGGCAATGAGGACCCATTAGCTTTACAAAGACCTGCGCCTGGCAGAGATGAATACCGCTAGAACTGGTCTGTTGTTCATATGCCTGAATTCCTGGACTCTGCTTGGGAATGTGACTCTGGGAGTAATCATGATCAATGACTGCATTTCAAAGCTAGCAGGTGCCCTTTGGCATCTCTCCAGCCCCATTTGGACAAAAAGAAGGGAAGAAAAAAGCATACTAAGAGTAATGAATGCCATTACACAGAACGTCTCTCCTTACTGAAGTAAATGGCAAATATCAGAAGCAATGGGATACCTAATTAGCATTTAGAAAAACTGACAAATATTGAGTTGTAAAGATGTGCGTATAGGCTATTTAGGAGCTTGACTAAAGTGAATTTCTCAAACTGTGTGTTGTAAAAATGGTCAATTAGAATTCTATTCCAAAATTCCTATTTTGGAATTTGAGATAGGCTGTAAAACAGAACTTGAGGTTGAATCCAAATTTGTCATTTAGATGTTGCCATTCAAATTGGAATACAGTCAAATTTGATTTTAATTTGGCCATTTCAAATGTGGAAATTGCATTGAACTAAATGTGATTTTTTTCCCGTTATTTTAAAAGAGCTCTGCCCAGCAGATCATTGGCCACTTTGATGCATTATTTAAAAATGACATCTTAGCAGAAATAAAATATGTTTTTTGCACCTGTGGTAGGCAGTAAAGTCTGAGTTTAATCTTGCACTTTGATGTTTTCTGGTAAAGAAATTAAATGACAAAGTACAGTAATTATTTGTATAACTTTGGTCTCCAACATAACACATGTCCCCTCCGCCCCCCTGCTCCCCAGCACACATAAAACTGCCTTAATTCCCTAGCCAAGTGTCAGCTTGTTCTGTAACCATCTGGCTTAACCTTATTAAATGTCTACATATGAAAAGGCCATAACTCAAGAGCTAGCAGGTGCTGAGGCGAGGTGGGGTTTAAGAAGTGATGAGAATCCTTACCCGTCTGCCAGCTGAGAAGAGACAGGTGTCTGGTTTCCATGTCTTCCTCCACAAAACATACACAACCCATGTTCCTATTTAAAAACTTGGCATTCAGACAAGCATATCCAAATTAATCTCTGCATTCATTTTTGCATGGACACCAAGTCAAGATTACGTATCCAGCCTCCCATAAACAGAAGGAAATTCAGGCCTTTCATACCTATGGTTGAAAATAGAAAAGAAGTGACTTGCTTTTCAAAATCTGGCATACTTCATATCAATTATATAGTGTTGGTCCCCCTGTTTTGCTAGGAGAAGATGGATGGACAGAAATTAGGAATTAATACCTCTGCAAAACACGGAATGCCATACAAGGAGTTTAGCCTTTTCCCACTTCTCAACATCCCTGCAGATTTAGGCCCATTTCTTCCAGTATTAGATTTCTCATGCTTGGTACTTAAAACCTTGCACCATGCATTTAACTAAATGTACTTTCTTTAGGCAATATAGTGTGTTCTTGCATCTGCTTAATCTATATATCTTTCCTGTAAAACCAAGTAGTCATGACAAGTGGTGGAGAGGAGAGGAGCAGAGCAGAGAGGAGCAGAGTTTCCTTTCTGCCCATATTTAAGCCGTCCTGAGCCGTTATCAGAAAGAACAGGATAAAAATGTTTTAAATAAATAACAAAATAAAATAATTCTTTCTCAAAAAGTATATAGAAACTTTCCACCTTCAATCCATGATTCAATGGCACAAACACCAACTGAGTTTATGGAGTGAGCTGTACAAGTTGTAAATAAGTTAGAAACTGAACAAATTAGTTCTTGTGTTTAAGTTTGAAAATCACGGTATTTCCCAAGCATTCTTCTGCCATTGTCAAACAACAGACCTCTGCAATCACTTAATTGGAATTCATGGTCTATCATCATCTTCTTCTTAACATAAACAGAATACACATAGAAGAAATCTATATGTAAAATAAAACAGAATAAAGTTGCCAAGGGTTTTTAAACAAGTACAACCAATACATTCAAGCCCACAAATTTCAAAGAGACTGAAAATATCTATCTATCATTCAGCACTCATTGGAAGTTCAGAAAAGAAGGAATTGTTATTCTGTACGCCAACAAATTTTCCAATCTCTTTAAGTAAATTACAGAACTTCAACTACTTTTTAAGGAACTCCCTTTTACATCCCATTAATTGTACTGGTCTTTTGCAAAATTTCCATTTGTCATTAAATTCTTCAACTCCCAACTCCGTTTCTTCCTCCATCCTCTGAGCATAGGTATTTTTTTACTTTCACTGACCTACTAGCCTCTCCTCTGGCCATGGTCACTCTTCTTGAAGCATCAGGGCTGTTGAAATGTTACTCATCTTGCCCTAGCCACCAGTTTCCCTAGCCCTGTCTGTTGGGGGCTGGGTTTCCCTTTACACTGGTACCTCGGTTCACGAACACCTCAGTTCATGACCAAATTGGGTTGCGAACAGAAATTTTGCCTCTGTTTGCAAACTGCATCGGGTGATGATCACGATCACGGCCATGTTCCCACATGTATCTTTCTCAGAACATCATTTCAGCTTTCTTACATCATTATGCCCTGATGATACTCAAATGGCTCTAAGGACAAAACAGGAATATTGCCACAGGATAGCATCAATAGCCATGGCTACTTGGCTTCTAAGATCATTGTGACATGCTGTCCATTGTGACATGGAGCACAGTTGGTTCAAAGATCAAGCAAATAGCTGTCTTTTACTCTGAGTTAGCAGTACTTCTATTGCTGAAAACAAGAATATGTAAGTAGAATTTCTTGGCAGTTCCACATTCTGTGGTGACAATTATCCAGTAGTTCCCTAAGGGGTTCCTTCCTTCCCAGCTAAGGCAGAATTAGCTTGGAAAATCTTAATACAATTTGGTGGGTCTTCATAATTTGATCTCCAGAACTCCAGCTATTGCCATGTGTAGGAAACAAAGCATTTCCATATGGCTCCTTGCAGAATTTCAGCCTAGGTACACAGATTAGGAAGACCCTGCAAGCCTCATTTCTTCTCCCCACTCCATTCTAGGCAGAACCTTCTACATAAGTGGAAAACCAAGGTGAGCCCAGAGAAAAAGGAAAGAGTAGCAAAGATAGAGCAGCAGAGGTTGCTTAAACCATTGCTGGAAGAGCAACAAATTATGGCCCATTCCTGAAAGGAAGGAGACAGATGCAACAACACCTCTTCCCAAATGGAAATGGTTCTCCTTATGCAGAGGGAGAAACATCATCTCTGTGGAAAGCGAGTCAGATGTGAAATGTGCTGCTTCAGGTGAGAAGATACCCTGGACTTTGTTGGGGGAAAGAAGAGGGAGTTGGAAAGGATGTATCATCACCATATAGCTGCAGCCATTGGTAGGAAAGTGCCATTGCTTAGGGAGCAAAATGGCCTTGCACATGCACCCACAGGAGGTGTCAAGAGGCATGCAAAACCCAAATGGTTGTGATCATAGAAGTAGAAAGAAAGTGTATTGGGGGAGGGGGGAGTTGTTACTAGGATCTATGAGTGTAAGTCACACTAGCCCTTGATCAAACTCTCCAAATTCCCAAAATGTAACACAAACTTGGAAGAGGTTGCAGGAAATGTGGATGTGCAATTTGTTCATCCTGGTTGTAGTGGGGCTGGAGCAAGGGGGCAATCCAAACTGTTTGGGATAAGGGAAACTGGAAGGGGAGGAGCAGGGAGTTATTGGTATACCAGTACCAATCTAGAGAGCTAGATAATGTCACCTAAAGGCCTGGTCCACCATAAATGCTAGTGCCTGACATCAACTAGCCCATTGTGCCATTTTCCATGCTTTTTCCCTCCAACAGAGTCAAAACCCTCCAATAAAGTGGGCACCTCTTAATTCAGCATCGATATCAGTGATAGGGATGAAATGTCCTCCTCTGTTTATAGTGTAGGCATCTCAAATGCTAACACCTCTGAGGAGCGAAAGAAACAAGCACCCGCTTCACCACAAATGCTTCCCTCACATGTTTATTTCTACATTAGGGGCTTCTGAGCCATTGCTTTTAGCAATCAGGTGGCAGCTTCATTAACAGACTGGCCCCCTGCACCTTGCTGTGCCGACCTGCTCTGTCGAGTGCAGCGCAGGGACAGAGATGCCACCGCTGCCATCTGCACTGCGGAAGAGACTCCGCACTCTCGCCGTC